ATGCTAACAAAATGCTTCAGACCTGCAGCCCATAGGTGGTTCTAGAGGCTGGCAGAAGTGGCTCTTTGGCCCACTAATATATTAAATAATAAAATATTGCCCTATTTTTTGTTTCATTCTTTAATTGCTTTCTAAGCTGCAATTTATACACATATCAGGAAGGAATAATAACATTAAGGAGGCAACAAAAACCGATGGTTTTAATTTAATTACTGTAATATATAAGTGCATGAATAAGGGAGAGCTGTACGTACATATTAAACCTGGGGGGTGGGGCGCTGATGACATGTTCGCATACACCTCAGAAAGTATGCAGTTCCAACCCTGTCTCCAAGTCAAATTCTGCTCCAGGCCTCAATCAACTTCATTCACTCACTGCTAAATGTGCTAATGGTGGAGAAACAACTTATTGTTTCAGGAAAATTGTTTATATATCACTGGTAGCTATGTTAACTAGACTAAGCATTTACAACAGGCTATGCTAGCTGCAGAATAGCATAGAGCAAAGGGGAGGAAGGATGAGCAGCCACATGAGATTGTGATTGACAGCTCTAAAACTCTCCTGCCACTGACTGGTTGTTTCTAGCACTGGGAGGAAGCTGAGGAAATAGATTTTTCACAGATTACCTCTCATATCAAACTGTCACAACATAATGACAGTTTTAACAAATATGTGGAAAAAAACATATTTATATAAAAGTTACATACTGCAGCTTTAATTTAACTTAGAAGAGGGCAGGTTAGGAGGGACATGGGTTAGAGCTGCTGCTGACTGACTCATCTGTTAAGTGCTAAAAGGTACAAGGGACAAGTTATATGAATATGTTGGTATTTTCTTTCCTTAATTCATTAAATGCTAGTGAAATGGAGGTAATCAGTAGTCTATAGCTAGGCTAATTATGCTAAATGGTTGATAATCTCACCTCTCCTGGAGAAAAACTGCTATAAATTGACACTCTTGCCTTCCTCTCTCTCTCTCTCTCTCTCTCTCTCTCTCTCTCTATTTTTTTTGGAAACCTGATTTTATAACTTTTCTTAGCAGCATAGTAACTGCCACAATCGTTCATGTCTTCCACCATCTGCTGCTAACAGTGCCATGGTGA